GTGAATTAACTTTATTTCTAATGACGATCCAGACCGCGTCAGTACGAACTCTGTTCTTTGTTCACTTCATTTTACCGTGGATTCGTTAACAAACAAGGCACAATTCGACGCAGGATTTTCAGAAAGATTGAAGCTAAAAGACGATGCTGTGCGACTATATTGGATCCGACCATCACAACACAAGTGTGAGTAACTGTTTTCATTACGTGATCACTATCGCTTTGTCTGGTAAACAGATCGTTTGATATGTACGGAGTGTTTGTGTTTTTGACCTAAATCACCGCAGCGTCCATCTGTGAGGAATGTAGGCTGTCAAACATACACAACTATTAGTCAATCACAGCAGTGGTGTTTACTTCAGAGTCTACAATCCTCCATGTCTATCCAAACAGAGTGTTCTGATGAGGGGGTTAAAACAGGACAGAAAGTAGCCTATTACTTCTAAATGTGATGTTTTTAACATAACATTAACATTATAAATGGAGCTCAGAGAACAGTACAAAATAAAAAACGGAGGCAGTTCATGACCCCTTTAAAGCTGAATCTGGTTTAGTGTCTTGAGCGTCTCGTCCTCTGGTCTGTGCAGGAGGTCGATGCGTTTGTGCAGGAGTTCCTGTCGGTGGTGAACCGTCTGCCGTCCTGTATCTGCACTCTGCAGGCACTCGCCAAGCGTCCCGTCCCAGCAGACCTGGAGCGGCTGCAGGAGTTCTGCTGTGTGAACCAGGCGCGCTTCCAGCAGCTTCGGAGGTACGGCTCTGACTGTTTGAGCTGGACCTCACAAAACTCCAGCACATACCATTCACTAATCTCACAGGGATTTACAGGAGCTACTGCACACAAAGCCGATTTAGCTCTCAAACCCAATGTATAGGGCTGTCTGTGCACCCTGTCATATAGTAGCTTGGGGTGGACAAAGTGCACAAATCACGTGCTTGAGTAAAAGTACAGATACCATAAAGTAATACTCCAGTAAAAGCATTGAGTACTCTTTTTCAGTTTTACTTGAGTAAAAGTACAGAAGTATTTAATATTTATTGTACTTAAGTATAAAAAGTTCCAGTTGATTGTTTTTGTAATTTTTACTGATATACTTTTCTATTTAATTTGCTATTATATATTTTATGTAATTCTACTGCTCCTAATACCTGGGGGAGGGGGGCATGTCATACACTATCAAAGCAATTAAAATATACATTAAAATATGAATTTGGTATTGATTCTTAATGTGTATCAAGTGAACAAGTGAAAAAAATTAGATGTACAACTGATTTTTTTTTTTATTTTAAGAAGGCACCATTATTTGTAAAACTAAAGGTGTGTGTGTGTGTGTGTGTGTG